ATGGCCCATGAGATCTGGCTCCAAGAACTTGGCCCTCACATTTTCTTTTCTGGCCACAGTGGCCTCTGGTGGACCTTGAATATGCCAAGAGAGGCCCCCCTTTCTCCACTGGAGCACTGTTCCCCTAAACAGTTGCATGACAAGCTCCATTTTCTTTGGTTCTTTTCTTTTTGATTTATAAAGCTTGCCTGGCTGCCCTATATAAAATCTCAACATTCACAACCCCCGCCAACATTTCATGCTTTACCAATTTCTGCTTTATAAAAATGATACTCTTTAAGATGCATCATTAAACACTGGGCATTTTATATTTTATTTATCAAATTAGCATGCAGAAGTATTACATGTTTAAATTATTTTACCTTTCCCCATTAGTCTACTCTATAGAGGGAGAAATAATTACTAGCCTTGTTCACTGTTGTATCCTGACCATGTAATACAATACCTGGTACATAGGAGAATCCATAAATACTTGTTGAATGAAAAGGTAAAGAATTGCTAACTGTGGCATAGTGAATATTATAATTACAAGTATATATTCTCTTCTTGTTACTTATTTTTAAAATATCCAAACCATAATCAAGTCAAAATGCAATACAGAAAAGGAAGTCACCAAATTGATAGCCTTAAAATGGTTGAAACCCATATCGAGGACATTATACAAAGTCTTGTTCAGGATGCTTCAGAAGTGCCAAAGCCATAACATACAGGGAAGAATGAGGAACTGTCACAGGTCAGAAGAGAGCAAAGAGACATGAACACAGAAAGCAATGCTGCATCCTGGAATGAAAAGAGTACAGCGAAACTCAAAATAAATCTGCATTTTAGTTACTAGAGTTGTTCCAATGTTCACTTTCCCATTTTGATACTGCACAGTAGTGATATGAGATATTAACATTATTCATCTAAATGTCTTAATATGTCTTCAAATTCAAGCAAAGAGGTCATTAAATGATAAACATGTTTGCCTATTGGATGAATAACCCACAAGCAATTACCTTGTAAACCACTGACAAGGTAACTAATTAACCAAAATAGGTGTACAATGAGTGTGTGTGTGTGTGTGTGTGTGTGTGTGTGTGCGCGCGCGCAAAGGCTATTTTCTTCTTTTTACATTTGCTCAATCATTTTTTACGTCATGGTAGATGTACTCCCAGGGAACCAAACAGGTTTTCAAAGCATATATTTCTTGGGACATGAAGGAGTTTCATCAGGAGACAGAATAACAGTTCAAAATTCTTTTTATATACCTTCTGCTTATGAAAGGGTAGAAATAACAAGTGTCAGTTTACTAAATTACCTAAGTCACATCCCATTAATTTGAGATTTCACAGTGAAATAATCATACGTCATCATAGGTCTTAAGAAGACATGTTCCAATTAGAGGCAGAAAAATGATTAAGAAAACTGTCACAGGGTTTTTGAGAATCATATTAACAAATAAGCCACCTCTCGCTGAGAGGTGGGGGGAATAGAAGAGAAAATGATGTAGAGTCCCACTCTCTGGAAGGCCTGCCCTCCTTCCTTCTCCATCTGAGGGATGTGTACTCTGTACGAAACAACTCTTCCGTCAGTGTGACTTGAGGATCCTGCCATACTGTGCCACCCCATCCTTGCTGGAGGTCTTGCAGTCAGAGAATAGAAGGGGGTTGGGACAGGTGGGCACCTGGAGATGGGGAGAAGTAGAGGTTGGACAATTCCATTTGAGCACACAAGCAGCTCAAACACATCTCTTTGGCATCATAGCACAAGCAAGCCAGCACATTCATCAAGCAAATGTTGACCTGTTTTTGCTCCAAGATACAGAAGAAGAGCTAATTTGTGTTATTAATACTGAGTCTGCAGCTTGTCCCATTTAGCTTTTTAGCCCAGATCTATTCCCAGTGAATGAGGAGATTAGTGGACTGAGATGCAGTGCCCCTCCAAAGTACTGCTGCTTCCTATCTGTTGTTTGACAGCTTCAATGCCAAATGCACTCTTGTATGAGCTGGTCTGCAGAAGCATTTAGGAACTTGGAGCAGAGCATTCTGTATCCAAAGGTCTGCAAACTTTCTGAAGGATCCGTTTCCTAAAGTTTTGCCTTTCAGGGACTCATTTTCTAAAAATTCTTTGACCCCCTTCAAAGTTCTCCAAACATCACAAATAAATATAGCTAACAGTGCACTATTATTTATAACTATGTTCTATTTGCGGCAATAGAAAATGCCACCAATCATGTAACTATCCAGAAAGTTCTCAACAGTAATTTTAACATACTGAGCTACCTACAGTGTTTTTGGTTACACTCACAGTTCCAAATGCTTGTTTATTCTCTAGACACATAATTTCTGCTGCATTCTAAAGAGACTCATAAAAGTGTCTATAAAAGGTTTTGATGCCCAGGCAATTTTTTTTCACTTAATAGAGAATTGCATTTCATAGCAGATCACTTATGTTATTCTCATTCAAAAACAAACACTGGCATTTCTTTAGTCCATTAAGTTTCTCAATGCCCATCTTTTTTTGTACACCAGTCATAGACAGTTTTATTATTGTGCCTAAAGTTGTCATTTTTCTGTGCAAACATTCTTCATTTGGATAGTCTTCCTATGTATCAAAATAAAAAGTACGCTCTTATTTTCTTCTTGAAATATTTGACTGCTCTTGAGTTAGATCACAAATTCATTTTTCTCTTAATTTTATAGTAAGAACAATAGCAGTAAACATGTGGTGGTCAATAACAAGTGTTATTTGATTTCGCGTGAAAACACAAAGGAAGGTGTGGGGACATATCTTCCACAAACGATGATGCCCCTGAGATTCAGGGCCTTCTGCTTTGTGGGGACACTGGCCCTCTGATTAGGAGAAGCTGGAAGTCAGACATTCTGAGGAAATTTTGCCAATTTAAATATTGGTACCTTAGTAAAAATATATTAAAATACTAAGTGAGTCAATATCATTCTACTTGGGTAAAATAGTCTACCAGCAGAGTACAACCTGGGGGGTGGCCATTTGCAACCTCTAAGCATGCAAAGTGTTATCTAACTTTGCTTTAGTCCCTAAGAATCAAGAAGAGAAAAAGCACAATTACATCAACATGCTTCTATGGAGTATGAAATCCAAGTGTCATAATTAAATTGAAAATTTCCTAATGAGGCAGCAGGATGAATATTGCTGAATGTTCCACTTATTAGGAAGAATGAGGTTAGGCTCCCCATCGGGAAACAGGCATAATAAAACTGCCTTGTAAGTTTGTCAAATGATTAGTGATAGAGGTATACAAATTTCTGCATATTGCCTGGCATTTGGAAAGTGTTCCATATGTAGTAGTTCTGTCATCATGAAATACAAAACAGAAGATTCCAACAGCATTTCTTTACCTGTCTCCCCAAATATCAACTCTACCCAGACCCTGGATGTTCTCCCTCCAGCCACCTCTCCCTCTGTGCACTGTTTCATCACTTGGTCCAATGGACATGCCCAGGATCTCAGCCCACTCAGAGATGTTCTACCTCTTGGCCTTGCCCATGCTCTCACCTCCACCTGGAAAGCCTGTTCCTTTCCGCTTCACAGGAAGCTTCCCCGAGTGCCACCTCCCCAGTCTAGGCAGATCCCTACCTCCCCTACAGCCTGAGTTTGCCTCAGTTGCACTATGTGTCAAGTTGTATTGTAACCTCCTGGGAGAAAGGAACTTGGTCAACCACTTCACTGTCCCTAGGACCTGGGTTGCCTTGCAGGCGTTAGTATTCAGAAAAGAAACTGGATCAAAGAAGGAATAAATGAACGAGATGATTGCAGGCCAGAATCGCCTTTTACTCTGGCCACTTCCTCCACCCCCAGCCCCAAACCAATGGAGATTTCCACTCTGGAGTCTAGTCATAACAGAAAGATCCTTGAGTGTCACACCAGGGTGGGGGGGAGTGGTTGAAAATGGGGGCGAGATGACACCTGAAAGAGTTCTTTTGAAAGGTGATAGGGAATGCAAAATAGCCCTACATGGAGGCAAAGAAGAGAAGAACTATAACCCGACATCTTACCTTCACTTTCAGAACTGTGGGGTCAAAGTGGTCTTGGGGCTCTGCCCTCCTGTACACTAGCATTCCTGGTCCCTTAGTAGAAGAAAAAGCATTTTGTTTTTATGGGTTTTAATCTTTTTTCAGTGAAGTACTACTGTTTTATAGCCTTGTTAATTTTTTGAACACTGTAGGATTTCTCCCCTCAGATGTGGTCACCATAGCTCTCCCGCCACCAAAGCACCCATATAGTCCACTGCAATCTCACCCCTTCTGTCCTCACTCCTCTCTTGCTCCCTTCCCTTCTAGATGCCTCAGATCTATGGTCCGTTTTTAAGGTTGATTTTAAAGTTTGTCTTTGATCCTCTGTTTGATTTTTCTATATTCCACATAAATGAAACCATCCAATATTTACCTCTCTCCTGGCTTTTTTCACTTAGCATAATCCCTTCCAGCCCCATCCATATTACTACAAATGGCATGAGTTTATCTTTTCTTGATCACTGAGTAGTAGTCCATTGTGTGTGTGTGTGTGCGTGTGTACCACATCTTCTTGAACCACTCATCTGTTCTGGCGCCTAAATGTTGTTTCCATATCTTGGCTATTATTAATAGTGCTGCGATGAATATAGGACTGCAGGTTTATTTTCAAATTAGTGCTTTTGTGTTGGGGGGTGGTGGTGAGATACTTAGAAGTGAAACTGTTGGGTGTATATGGCAGATCCATTTTCAGTAAAAAGCATATTGTAGGATAGGGCTCTCACCGGCATACTGGTAACTTTGAGTGAAGAAAAGTCATTCCTTCGTCCATAGAGGCACAGATTCCTGCTGGAGTACTTACTGAAAAAAGAGGGGCAAATGAGCTTTAGTCCACTGTGCTCCTTATCCAGGTACCTTTGGGGAAATCCTAACAAAGTTGTTCTGACCCAAGAAACAGTGTTTACTCTCATTGTGCACAATATTAGAAGAATGATTGTGAATAATGTACAAATATTTATTCCTTTCTAGGAACATGGGTGACATTTGGTGGTCAAATTTCAGATGAGGTAAGTTACTTTTGGCTTCTACAATGCTGATCCAAGAAAATGCAGAACTTCAGGGTTGGGTCTTGGCCTTTTATGGGGATAATTCACAGGAAATAGTTAAGATTGAATTGAAGCTTATTTTCAATTTCATCTTGTTTCTTGTAGTTTTTATATTTGGACTATTAATAGCCTTTGAGGCTGTCAATCTATATTGTGTTGAGGCTCAATAGTTAGAGAACAAGCCAGTTAGGAATTAATATTTAGTTACCTTATGAAAATATTTTTTATTTTGGTTTTGTTTGCTTGTTTTGGTTTTACCAAGAATGACCAACTGGTTCCAGTTTGCATGAATTTTCCCATTTTAAAATGGGATATCCCATTCCCGGTCAATCCTGGCTAATCGGTCCCAATGCCTTGGGCAAATGCATCCACCCTCTGAGCTCATTTGCTTCTATGTCCAATGGGATGATCATGGCCACCTTGAAGGTCTATTGAAGGTACTGACCATGTTAGGCAAGTCAGATGTTTACACAGTCCTCTGATTAGTAAATAGCAGACTATAAGTGACAGCCATAACAATTATATTTACCAGAAAATTCCTCTAAATCTTCATTAACACATTCAAAACAAAGCTTACCACAGTGATTTTCTCATGCCTTTAGGGAATATCTTCATAGCATAAGTGAACTATGCAGGCACTCACTGAGTGTTAACAACTCCCCTAAGGGAACACCCCCAATCCCTCTGATCTTTGCTGCTTACCTGCAACACTACAGAGAAGGCACAGACAGTGTATCTGCCTAAAACTCTCAGTGGGATCCAGTCTGCTTTGCCATTGACTAGTGAGACTTACTAACATTAGATTTACTAACAATCATCAGTCACATCAGCAAATTGAAATGCGCCTCTATGCAGCAGTGTCATACTTTAGGTTAATGAGACGTGCCTGGTCCAGGAAAATACTTTTTATAAAGGTAGTTCTGTTGGGGGAAAAGGACGTCCTAACCTAATTCCATACAGGCTTTGTGGACACCACCCCTACTCCAGACCAAAGCCATCAGGACATTGGGAAAAACAAATCCCATCACCACCAAAGGGAAGGTTGCTGGAACCTGAGGGTGGAATTAAGCAGCCAGGTTTGGCATAAAACCAGATACATGGGCCTTGGGAGGGCTCCTTTTTTTTTTTTTTTGGCTCTCCACCAGCTCTCAGCTCGCGGTCAGCTCTTAGGGTGCCATTGGGTTTCCAGGTCGGCGGATCGGGTAGGACTCATTTAAGACTTTATCTCTCTATTTTCTCCCTGAGTTGTACATTTCCTCATTTCCCCTTCCCTTGTAAATAAACCTTTTATTAACCTTTTGTGTGTGCCTGCAGTGGAGTATTAATAAGTCCCTTTTAGGCACGTGGGTGAGGACCCACAGTCAGGCAACCCATTTTATATCGGGGCTGCCCTATAACAGTTCTTAACATCATCCCTAAGGAGAAATGTAGGTGAGCTGGTGGTCATTTCCACAGCTCCCAAGGTCACCAGTGTTATTTCATAGATTTGGGGGGGAGAAGTGTTAGCTGCATACTTTTATCTGTCTGAATGCCTCCCCACCCCTTTGGGCATAGGTCACCACAGAGGGCTTGTTGCATGGCAGGGGTGGTGGGGGGAGTTCCTGGGGAATGAACACTGAGAAGGAGATTCACATGCAGGACAATTATTCGGAAGTGCCCTCAGGACTAGTGCAGGACAGGGAAGGAAGCAGGATTGGGCAGAGAGAAACTGGGCCACAATGGAGTCTCAACAATGACCTCAGCTGACTCCCTGTGGACCTCCAAAGCTGAGACAGCCCTGCAGAGTTCTCCCAAGTTGGAGCAAGAAGACTGAGCATTTACTAGAGGCTAGAGACTGCCCTGGGATGCAGACCTGACATTGGGCGAGGAAACACTAACGGAGGCAGCTGACGGCAGCATTCCTAGCAGTGAGGGAGACAAGTCCTTCAGTTGTGCTGGACGTCCAGGGTTGCCATCAGAGGCAACACACCGATGGCATCAGGTGGAGTATGTGGAGCGGCATGGCGAAAAGTCCTCCCTTAGCAAAGTAACAGCCAATGACTGTATCAAATATGAGATAGGTGACAAATAAGCAGGTCTAGAAGTAAGGATCCACTGTGACCAGTGTGCACAGCCTTGGGACAGGCCTGCAGGACAAAAGACAAAAATATGTCCCCTAACAGAGCAGAGGGGCCAGCCATAAACAATCATTTCCCCTTTGTCTCATCTCTGCTCTGCCCTGGGTGGCAACTCTGCTGCCAGCCCAGGTCAGTGTGCACAGCTGGCTTCTGAAGGGAATCATCTCAAAACTACGATTCTAAAAACTGAACAAGAATTTCATGAAAGGCTGCAGTCTCCCGGCTTGGATGCAGGTTAGAGGACGAATGCTTGTCCTGCCAGAAAGTGGCTGTGGCTTCCCCAGGTCCCCGAAGAAAGACAGCAGCAGAGAAAAGGAGGGGGCGTGTCAGACCACAGGCACTCAGGTGCTTGAATTGCTGGAGTTCACCTATTTCCATGTGGCAAAATTGCAGGCAAAAGCAGCAATCACACCTCCCCAGATCGTCCAGCTTTCTCTCTGGCTTCAGATGAGCTCAGCACAAAGCAGGTGTAAATATGGACTCCTGGATGACCACACTGTAGTGCCGTAACATGCTGAGCAATGCTATCACGGGCGGTGCTCCCTCCGGAAGTAGCCATGTCCCCATTAGGGGCAAGTTCAGCCACATATTGAACACCCACTTGACAGGGATATGATCAAAGGGACCCAAACACCAAACTGGAGACCTCTGTGAGGCACCTCCTGAAGAGGATTTGGCATCCTCATAAAACCAAGAAATGTGTTAACATGGGTGAATGATAATTTATTTAAATAATAATGAAGGTATGTTACCATCTTCCAGCACCTAAGGTTTAGAGTTTTATTTACATTTTCATCCTTAAGGTACTTAGGGTCCCGTTGATTGCAGATGATAATGAATTGGCTTAGCCAACAAGGGAAAACATCATTTTAACTTTCAAACAAGAAGTGCAGAAACAGAACCAGCTTCAGGGCTAACTCAGTGGCTCCCACCCATTTCCCAGCGATTCTCTTGACCCCGGGTTCCTTTGAGTGTGGACTTTACCCTCAAGTAGTAAAACAGCTGCAGGAATTCTAGGCCTCAATTGGAACAATAACTGTAGAAAGACTGTTGATTCTAGAAACTGTGAAAACAACGAAAAGTGTTTCCAGAACTTCAGAGCAAATCTCCACAAATCTTATTGACCAAATGTGTCAAATGAGCTTTCTCACCATCAGCACCCCAGGGGAAGCAGTTGAGCTCAGCCTCCTGAGGCCTCCAGTCTCCCTGGGAGAGTGGGACAGAATCATCCTCTTCTTACAGAGGAAGAAACTGAGACACAGAGATGTCAATTGATCTTATCTACTAATTGGTAGAAACCAGGCCAGAAACTGGTCTTTGGATTTAATTATTCTATATTCAGGTCTTCAAATTCTACTGCTGGGAAGTATCCCAGCAATCATTTAGTCAACTTTCTATCCACGATTCTCCATCTTAAAGTTTCTCTCTAGATAAGATATATTATGCACATTTCCCAATAATCATCCACCAGTGTATCATGTGACAAGGGTAACATATAACCCTTGTTCAGTTGTAAAAGACTGGACAGTCATACTGGGAAAGCTATTCTTGCTTGAGCTTTTAAGCTCTACGGAGGATAAATATCCTAATGGCAGCAAATTAAAAACAGTAATGGCTCTTTTGCTGCTATTATTCTAAAAGAGTTTCATGGACTCCATTTTGCTCACCTAACACTTTTCTTGGTAGGTCAATATTTAGAGCAACAGAAAAATAATTTATCTTGGAAATGCTGATGAAGCAACTTTAACCTACAATCAAAAACAAAATGAAAAAATCAATGGTCATTATTTGTGAGTTGTGTAATATTTCAAATGACTGATAAATCTCCCAACCAAATGAAAAAGTGGCCCCTCTCCACGTTGCGTATCACTGTCCCTCTATGCCTACCCTCAAGCTGTTATTTATAGCTTCCTCTATATTCTGACACATTTGCCACTTGGTTCAACAGCACAAAAGAAAGAACAAGGAGTATGGCGATGTTTGCAGGCTGCCAGTGAGAGCCGGGTCCCCAGAGAACAGTGTGCTCTCTGCCCATACCTCAGCCCCCGTCCATTCAGCTGACTGGTTGCTCTGTGATGGCTCCTGGGATTTTGCTGAAATGTGAGTGGCAGGAGTGTTACAACAGTCACAGCTCTGTCTAGTCTTTGGTTTGTCAGCACAATCTGCTAAACTTAGAGGGGAAAAAGGCAAAGCTTTTAGGTCAGGCGGCTTCAACTGCCAAAACCTATCGACTTGGGGAAAGACGAGAAATGGAGACACCAGTGTTACACATGACCCTCTTTGTCAGATTCTGATGCCACCGAGAATGTTGTCAAACCAGGTCTTCCAAGCAGAGTGAGAAACACAAATCATCCATCTCCCTGTGTCCGGGCTGACTTACCCAACACTGAAGTGAGTCCCTGCTGCCTGGTCTGAGGAAAGGATAATCTCACCCCATATATTCTTTTATTTTTGAGTCTTTAATATGTCTGTGAAAAATAAGCAACAGCGTTCAGTGTTTTTAAAGCCACCAGAGGAGGCAGTGGTGCCCCCCAGCTTAGAGACGCTGTTGCCTTTCCTCACTGGCTTCCATTCTCTTGCAGGTCGCTGAACGGCTGATGACAATTGCCTATGAGAGTGGAGTCAATCTCTTTGACACTGCGGAGGTGTATGCTGCTGGAAAGTAAGTCAGTCCCTGTTTGTGCCTCTCGAGATTCATTTCTTGAGCCAAGAGACTCTGCCTGCATGCAATGGCAGGTGGTGGAGGGGTAATGGAAATCAATAAATGTGAGTTGAATAGAAGAGTGAGCAAATGAATGAGGCTAGTCCCATTCTTTCATAACTAGCCCCAGAATTGCTCAACCTCCAATAAAAATGGCGTGGAGACAGGGGCAGCCTTTCTGTTTGCAGGCCTGTCCCGCACCTAGCACTATAGGCAGATAAGAAATTAAAGGAAGAACCCAAAGATGCCAATAAATCCAGTATCACTTATAAGAGGGCATTGCAGACCCCATTCTAAGGATAGAGGGACTGTCAGAGGTTTCACTTCTTTTGCTGGAGAAATTGCATCTAGTTACAATCACACCCAGGAACTGAGGGCAGGTGTGGGGCCCTAGACTAGGGCTCCCCCCTAAGACAGAGCACATACCTCCAGGTTCCAGCACACACATTTCAGACAGACCTGGAGCACGCTGGTTGAAAGTCTAATGTACCTCCTTCCAGGTGAGAATTACAGTCACCTTGGAGACTTGCTGAATCGGGTTCATCTTTGCCTGGTTTTAGCACATTTTTCTTGCACGGGATCCCTCCTCCTCAAAGGCAGGCCTGTATTTAAGGACCACCAAGGAGGTTCAGAGTCCACATCTCTGATGTTTTCTGTGAGTCCACCCTACCCTTTCTCAGTACCTTCTGTTGAATCCTGTTTAGTACCAGACAGTATGAAAGTTGAAAAAAGGAGGCATGAGTCACAAGACGGTTTGTATTCCTCTGATAAAGGATAATCTATTCCAATTAACTATTGATTGATTGTCAGTGTGCATTGGGAAGAGGCTCCCACTGGGAGATGCAAGATTGCAAAAGGCAACTGTGAGGTAGAAGAGTGGGGGCAGTGGGCTGGAGTGACACACGGAACCCCCGAGCTCATCTGTGTGGGGTGTGCTCCAAAGCTAACCCACATTGCAGTTCCTTGTGGGCCAGACATAACAATGAAGACAGAACTTTCAGTTAAGACAAATAATCCCCATCTAGGCGACCCTGACGGACAAAGTGCTATATCCACTGGTGTCCCCACCCCCTTGAGTCCTGCTGCTTCTCACAATGTTGGTCTTCCTGGGAGAGACTGTGGACAAAGCTTTAGTCTCTTTAAATTTGGGTCTCAGCTGGGGTAGACAGAGATGAGAGGGCAGAGGGATATCTTCAGCACACCTCTCCAAAACCTCGGGGCAGAAGGAGCACTTCGCTCCTCGCCTTATTATCTTGCTCCTGTGACACGTTTGTCACTGGAAACCAAGGCGTTGTCTGTGTGGCCACTGCACCTGCAGAGTCTGGGACATCTCAGCCACACATGGGTAGTGTTTTTTTTTTATTTGCAAGATCATCTGGGAGTCAATATCTTGTCTAAACCGTGTGAGATTCATAGTCCTTCCGGTCACGATGGAGACCTTAGCATTTAGAAGGAAAATCTGGACCCTTGGACACTGCCAAGAGGAACATTTATATATGGAATCAGCAGTTCAAAAACACCAAATTGCCGAGTGACTCCACTGTTTCTTAGTATCAGGACGGCAGGCGTTCTCCTGCCAGCATGTCAGTATTTGGCAGGTGCTTCTGGAATACTCCAGAGCAGCATTCTGCAGGCACAAGCAGAAACAGCGGAAACTGTGCTACCAGCTGAGAACGGCTTCTATTTTCAGGACATGTGGGCACTGAGAGTTCAAACAAGGAATGGCTCTGGTGTTCTGCACGACTCTTGTGTTTCCAGGTCACTGTATCCTAAGACTTTCTCTGTTTCCCTGCCAGGGCTGAAGTGATACTGGGAAGCATCATCAAAAAGAAAGGCTGGAGGTAATGCATTCACCATCATTTATTTGCCTTTCAAAAGATTTATTTTGGGGCTTCCCTGGTGGTTCATGGGTTTGAGCATAGTGCTGTGAGGCTGTCCGCGGCCTGTGTGGTACAAGTTTGATCCCTGGCCGGCTGGGGAGCAACCCACCTGGTACAGCAGACCTCTCCTGTCTCGCCTGCTGTTGCCCTCAGCAGTGTATTTTGGTACATCTACCTGTTCTGCTCCCTACTCTGTCTCCAGTGAATCTTCTTACCCTCTGCGACTCTGGCCTGTACCCCACTTCTTAAAAAAAATGGTCTGATAACTGACCAAAAGACTGTCCCCAAAAGTCAACTCTTGGTAAAAGACTGATTTACAGTGGTTTGAAAATATATACCAGACGTTCATTACTTGTGTGTCAGAAATTATTGACTAGTATAGCATAACAAATCGCCATGGGGTTGAATGGAGGAGGGAATGTTCCTGAGGTATTTGTACATAGGCGTATGATATTTTTATGGCTTGTGCTGCCATTTGTGGTCAAGGAGCTGATTATCTGTACATACCTATTTATGTTCACTCATCATTTTATTAACAACTCTGAATGCAAAGAAATGATGAAGCAAGACCCTCTTGGGATAAATGTCCCTGTGTTTTCTTACCTGGACACAGTCAGCCAGCATCATTCCTGGTACCAGAGCTCCCCTCTTGCCTGACCCAATCACTTATGTAACAAGAGCCTATGGTAATGCAGGATCCTGTCACATCAGTGGGGGCGGTGAGGCCATCCCCCACATGGCTCTATGAGTGTCAACCTTGACTGCCACTTCCTGCCAATGTGAGTATAGAATCAGGCAAAACCCAATAAAGATCAATGGGCACATTTGGGGGGTCCTCTTCCACTCTGGCATAATATATGCCAATGGCCAAATTAGTAACATTTCTAGAACACTTCTGAGACAGGTGTGCAAAGAGCCTTGTACCCATGTGTGTAAACAAAGAGGGTATAAAATTTATTCTAGGCAAAATGGACATTCTTAGAAATTAGCTTGAAACTGGTTTTATTATGTCTCTGTACACATCATTTAAACACCCTCCAGGAGAAGAAACTAGAATGGTGGAACCAAGTTCCTTGTCTTCCTGAGGTTGCTTACTCCTCATTCTTGGTGAAACATTTCGTAGGAATAGAGAACCTTGCAGAAATGGAAAACCAGAAATTTACGAAGATGTGAACAACTTTGGTGACCTACTTTCTCCCTCTCGTTTCTCCTCATTCCCTTCTCCAGGGACTGTAAGGTTGTTAAGAATAAACTATATTCAACCTTTCCTTCCCCAATATGGGACTGTATCACTGCCCCATAACGAAGTGCCACAGACAGAATGTTTAAGGCAACAGACCTTCATTCTCTCACAGTTCCAGAGACCAGAAGTCCAAAATCCAGGTTTGAGCAGCCTATGCTCTCAGAAACTCTGGGTTCTTCCTTTTCTCTGAGTCCTGGCAGTGGCTGGCCATCTCTGACAGTCCTTGGCTTTGAGCTGCAGCCCTCCAAAGTTTGCCTCCATCCCACATGGCCTGCTCCCCCTTCCTGTGTCTGTGTGTCTTATAAGGACAACAGTCATGTTGAACTAGGGACCTGTCCTACTCCTGTATGACCTCAGCTTAATTTAACAAATTGCATCTGCCAAGACCTTATTTCCAAACAAGCTCACATTCTGAGTACAGAGGTTAGGACTTTAACATATTTGGGGGCACACAATTTAACCTAGAACAGAGATCTTAGAGGTAAGTTCACTCAAAGTCCAGTGGAATCCGCAGTGAGGTGTAGGCTACCCAGGCTCACCTGTGCAAGGAGGGGAGGTGTCCATGCCATTGCTCTTTACCCCTTGATACCTCACAAACTTTAACCCCACTCTACATAGCTTGCAGAGACTATAATATATCTTTTGTAGATAGTGGGTTAGCATGTACTTTTCACAAACTGCTTTTTAGTCTTGCAAATAAAAACTCCAGCTATCACCCTGCTGCAGAATATAGGTCTCAGCGCACAGCTGCCCCCACAAGACTGGTGCAAAGACAAACTTTATCATGAGAGCATGGAGTTATAACAGTGGTTTCACACTGGCTTCTAGTCCTGGGGTTTTCACTTGCTAGCTGTGCTTCTCAAAACAACTTTCTTCACTTCCCTGAGTCTTGGTTTCCCCACCGTAAAATGGATGGCATAACTGTGAAGTGCTGTGGAGTACATGGGTATTTTGAAGGCTGTGCTCGTGTCAAACCAAAACACTTGGATTATCATTCTCCACCTCCACAGAATTGTTTTTAATACCTTTGGGGCTCAGTGAGCATTTGCCAGGTTGCTTTCTAATCTTGCTGTTTGACCATAAATGTTAGCAAACCCATATCGACCAAACATCTTATAGAAAGCCCAACTTTGGAAAAAATAAATCTATGGCGGTTTTCAGATAGAGTGTGCAGCTTTGACAGGTTCAATTGCTCTGAATAATCGGAAAAGCTGAATTCATTTTTTGTAATATTCTATCCAGTCTTTTGTTGAAGCTCTGAATATGTTTGCTGGCTCCCCTGTGGCAGATTGCTACTATAATAAGTATCATGAGGATGATGGATTAACCCAGAAAGAACATCAGCTTCTGTGGGCTGTGTACTCTCCAGATGCATACATCTGGAGCCCTTCATTACAATGATTCAAATTGCTTTTCAGGGAATTAACATCAGTGGCACGGGGTTGCTGACATTTTCTACAAATTTTTCTTGTCGCAACCAAATTGTCAGAATTGTCACTGCTATTCCCCATCGATTATTATTAACCATACCAGGCTTTCACAGCTGAGGGACCCAGGCATTGACTCTAAGGCTGATGGAATTTTAAATGCCTTATTACAAATACTCCCAAAGAATGACCTTAACTTTTGAATCTCAAATGATTTTTTTTTAGACCAGTTCAATTGAATTATATCCCTAGATTAACAAAATCACAGTGAGACCTGCCTCCCAGTTTTAAACTCTATGATTGTCATTCTCAAGACATATTTCTAATTCTACCATCAGAATGGTAAAATTACATTTCTTACCCTTGGGTGTGGCTCTGGGAAGATAAATTTGCTGACAACCACATTTCATCCCCTTGGGAGTAATGTGATAAAAGCTACAGTTTAAGGGTTTTAAGACTGTTTTCCTAAAATAACATTTCTATCTAACAAGACACGTAAAGATATTTTTTTCTTACTATTCTAATTGAGTTCATTATTTGTATTTCCATGTCATTAGTTCCTATGGGAGAAAGTTGTGGTAAGAAGGTCATAACTCAGAGCCACTTAGGTCCACAGTCCTTGGCAGAGGGTAAATTTACCCCAGGAAAAATTCTCACTCAATCTGTGTTTTGCCAGATGATAAATAAGTGGTTGTTAGTCGGTGGCTGTTTACTTGAGCTGCTAAAGCAATCTACTCTTGAAGTCCTTTTCCTTCCCTCTCGCTGATCGCTTCCTACCCTCCATGGCTACCACTGACCTTTGCTTTGCTGCCACCCAGTCTCCTGTTTGATGTCACAGACCCCTCCTCCAGCCCCTCCTGGTAAAGATCACCCCCTTCCGCCTCTCCACTAGGACCTGACATCATCCCCATTCCCCAACTTTTTTGTTTTTACATTTCAGTGATATGGATTAACAAATTTATCTCTTTACCAAATTATTTAAATGTGAGGTACAATAGGTTCTTTGTATTTTATAGTATAAATAAATAATAACAGGACTCAGTACAATAACTTCAAATGTCTTTAATCTTCTTCTGTGTGTGTTTGTCTGTTTAACATACAGGAGGTCCAGCCTGGTCATAACAACTAAACTCTACTGGGGTGGAAAGTAAGTTACACACTTTGTATTTTCCCTACTCAACAGGAAACAACTAGCAATTTATGTTTTTATCCTTTAGGCAACTATTTTGTATCTAATGTACTAAAATTAATGGATTCAGAAAGAAAGAGTATTTTTCTCATTCAAAGGGAAGAGCAATTTGCCTTGGAGTCAGTTTTAGCAAGATGCTCCCACAGAAATTTAGTGCAAATCATGTGGTCACTTGTTACTAAGTGATTCATGGAGATTTTCAAATACCAACCTCATACTTAGAAACATTTCCAAAATAGAGTTCAGATTTCAGGGGAAAAAAATAAGCACATAGCATCACAGAAGAAAAGCTACTCAAATCTGCCAAAACTCAGAGACTTCCACGGAATGTAAAGATAAAAATATCTTGTCTGGCTCCACGTGTAAGTCTCTGATCATTCTGCAGAGGGCTCTGAAAGAACTAATCAAAAGGACCCTCTCGCTGGAGAATAACAGGAAGCTTCCTGTATCACTTGCTGTCAGATCAAATGAAAGAGAAGTCCTTTCTCTGTGGCAGAATGCAGAACAAGGTTCACAGGATGAATGGGCTTCTGATGGGCCTGCTGCTGTTTGAACTGGTACTTACATTACTCATCAGGACTTAGAAGTTGGGCCTCTTTGACCAATATGCAAGAAGACAGCAAGCTGTTCCACATGTCTTTTCATGGAATGCTCAAAGATTTCTGTTTTAACAACAAACAAGCACAACCAAACAAATCAACGGTTATTGACCTCCCTATAATTGATCGAGAATAGTTAAAAAGAAAAATGAAGGCAGAGGGCAGTTCTTCTTTAAGAATCTTCTAAGCAAAATATACATGATTACACACACACACTCATATTTCATTGCTATTTTTGAGCCAAATGATGAGTGATGGGCCAAATGATGAGTGATGAGCCAAATATAATGCTAGAGTGATGGCATTCGGGGATTTATTCCTATTGTGGTCTACATAAAAACAAAACAACTTGGCGCCCTGTCAGAAACATAGATTTATTCTGTCTGTGTCCGATTCTTGATGCCTTTGGCTTGGTGTTTTGCTCTGGTATGCAAAAATCTAGCCTATAATTTAGAAATCAACAGGAAGTAAGACAATCTTCAAGAATCATTATGTAGTAGAGTACCTCATGCAATATGATCTAATATACTTGTAAATCATTCCAAATTGCCAAGGTTGATGGTGAACTGCTATGCTGTAAAAAGAAAAACCTGCCAAAGATATTGATGTTGGAGAAACATTTCATTAATGCTTTAAAACTCTAGGATCATGTTTCTAATTAATCAGAATTTATAATGATTTGGGAAGGCAAAAGGTTAAAAGTTTGTCTCCTTATGATTCTAAGTTAAGGATGACTTGGTTCATCAAATTTTAAATGGAAATAATTGTTGCATTTATTATGTAAGTCAAAAGATACTGTCAAATTTGTGTCCTTGCTCAGAAAAGCTAATGACACTAACAATAATATCACAAACTTGTGTCAGGCTTCCCCCTTACGACCCCGGCTTGAATTGGTTAAAAATAAAGTGGGAAGGTTGAATCATATGCCAAGTTGTATATGGAGTGTGTGTGTATGGTATGCCTGAATTGCATTAGTAAGGTGTGGTGGCATCAAGGTTAAGTCATCTCCTGGGGTCTCCAAAGAAAAGGGGCTCAGTGTGCTGCCCACCAGCCTTCTTTCTCAGCCCTCAGTAGTATAGAATTTGCCAAGAAGGGGATATAAAATTAGCAATTCATTTCAAGCACGAATGATTATTCTTCTGTACTTTTGAAACAGCAATTTAAAATAAAAAAACACACCCCCACTCAAAGTCATTTGCTTCTTTTTTCTTGTTAGAGCTGAAACGGAAAGAGGGTTGTCAAGAAAACATATTATTGAAGGTGGGTACTGCTGCTTCCATCTTATTTTCCTTTGTGGGATGCTGATTCAAGAAAGGTATCAATCAAATTGGCTCAAAACACATATAGAGGAGGAAAAATTTTCTATAAAAAGAACCACAGTCAACCAAGTTTGTTTCTGGATTAACTGGGCAGAGGGGAGAATGGGATTTCAAAAGAAAAAGCCCTAATTTTCTAGAATTCTCATTCATAGCTATGCTAACATTAATAAAACACTCCCATAAGACTTCCTGAAAGAGCTTTAATTGAAAATTAGATACATTTAGTGAGATACAATTTATATAGCATAAAATTTTACCCTTATAGTGTACAATTCATTGGTTCTAAATTAGAGTTGTACAATAATCATAACTTTATTGTAAAACATGTTTATCCCCTCTGAGTGACTGTACAGGCAGTCACTTCTCATCCCTTCTGGACCCTTTCCACAGCCCCCAGTAACTGCTAGTCTGCTTTTGTGTCTATAGATCTAACACTTCTGGACATTTCTTATAAATGAGATCACCTATGTGATATTTTGTGACTGGCTTCTTTCACTTAGCATAAAGTTCACCCATGTTGTAGCATGTATCAGTACTTCATTCCTTCTCACTGACAAATAAAATTGCTTTGTATCAATATACCACATTTTGTTTATCTATTCATCAGCTGATGAACATTTGGTTTGCTTTCATTTTTTTGACTATTATGAAAAATGTTCTATGAACATTTGCATACAAGTTTTTGTGTGGACAGATGTTAAGGTCTTGTACTTTTGAAAAAGAGGTTCTACACATAGAGAAAAAACTTGTAGAAAATTACCACTGAGTTGTTGATTCACTGTACTATTGCTTTTGTAATGGTACTCAAAATTATGTGTAGCTTAGAAATAAATAAGAAACGAAATAGTCTTCTAGGACTCTTACATTGTATAGAATTACCGTTCTGCTTCATTGTGAGGATTATAAGAGTTGTGAGAAATTTTTCTTTCTTTCTTACACATGTATATATTACAGAATTATTATACCTTTTGTAATAAAAGAAAAATGTCAAAAGGGGAATGCGGTATATTTCCCAACATATTTCACAAAAATTCAAGATTTTTGTAATTTTAGGTTCATGATTAATCATTAAGACAGTTTATTTTATCCTTTTAAAAACTAATTTCATTTATGAAATGCTAAAGTCACCAAAAACATAAATTGTATTCTAATCCCACCACTTTAAAAGTAAAAATAAGTCGGGCCTCCCCGGTGGCGCAGCGATTGAGCGCTTGGTTGCGAAGAACCCGCGGCCTCTGTGGCGCCGGTTCGATCCCCGGCTGCTTCCCGGCCACCGGAGGAGGGTCCCGCATGGCGCGCAGACCTCTCCTGCCGCCCGCTGCTCCCCTCAGCAGTGTACTTCGGTCCTTCTGCCTGCTCTGCTCCCCGCTCTGGCTCTGGTGAATTCTCTCACCCTCCCGCGCTTCTGACTGTACCCAGTGCTTGTATAAACAAAACAAACAAACAAATAAATAAATAAATAAATAGAACATGCCTCTTTAAAAAAAAAAAGTAAAAATAAGTCAATAGTACCGTTTGCTCACCTCATTTCACTCTACACTTGGACAATCCGGTGCATTATACTTCCCAACTTTTTCTGTAGTTACACTGACTTATCTATATACACTTACAAAAGAAATACAAAAGTGTTTGTATTAAACCAAAGAAATCAAGATATATATATATATATATATATATATATATATATACACTTACATAAACTTTACATTTTTCTCAATTAAAATACAATTTACACTCACATGCCTGCACATACATATGGTTTAAGGATTATTTCCAGCTTTTATCAATAGTATTGAAAATAATTATACAAATGACCATCCCTATGTAAATGTGGTAAATACCAGAAGTGCCATTGTTAGAGAATAATGCATATTTTAACACAAAATTATTTTCTAAGAAAAATATGCCACTCTGATGGAGTAGCTGGTTTTATTTATCTGCTTATTTATGCATTTATTTCTTAGTGGATGTCATAACTTTGTGCTTCTCTTTCTGGGAATTAACTTTTGATGTTCTTAGACTTTACTTCTTTGACTTGCTTGTCTTGGTTTTAATTTGCAGTTTGTCAGAGCTCTTTGTATATTTAAATATTCACTCCTTGTTGGTTCTATTTGTTGCAAATATTTTCTCCCAGACTGCCATTTTATTGGGAGTTTTTTCTCCCTATGAGCCTAATCTGAAAGATAATGTCAAATTGAAGATATTCATGTGACTTTGAAAGTTAGAGAGCCTTATTGACCTATAAAGATAACTACTTTGAAATGCCTTAGACTTGCACTAGAAAAAAATTATTTCCAGTATTCAATCATTTAATTTCAAATGGAAACATTTGTGACTAGATAATGACATATGTATGTATATACATATACTTGATACTGTTAATTTAATAATATTAATTATATTCTTATATTAACAGTAATAATTATATCATTCCATTATGTTCAAAGTCTGAGTTACTCTTACTAACTGATTTTCAACAAATTTGTAGGCATTTGGGTTTTGAAATCAGACATACCTTGGATTAATTTCCAATTCTGTCATTTATGAGCTAAGTGACTTTGTGCAAGTTACTTAACCTCACTAACTCTCAATCTCCACAATTATAAAATAAGCTATAAATATTCCTACCCCATAGGGTTACTATACAGGGATTGAAATTAGATCAGTCACACTGAGCACAGTGCCTGTCATAATAAGAACTTCAATGCTATCTTTGTCACCATCACCTATTATTATTATCAGTGCCTCTGCTGCTCTTCCTTCTCTGGATAAGAGAAGGAAGTGAACACCATTACTAAGTATTACTAAGTGAACACCATTCTGAGGCTGCCACAATGCATGACCACTTTCTCACACTAGAGAAATTGCTGGTATGCCCAAGTTCACACCCAAACAAAAATCTCTTCTCAAGCATTGGTGTCCTGGTTGACACTGTCAAGTCCAACTGAGCCTGCCTCTCAAAATCATTGTCAGTCCTGGTCTAGCATTTGCCATAACTTGTGTCTCCTGCCTCTTCATTTGTCACTAAGAAATAATCCCAGTTGGCCTGTAGTACCTAGCAGAATGCACAGGGAGCCAGGTACTGCCTACCAAGTTATTGTTTTTCTTTTCTTTTTAATCTGATTAAAAAGGAGATTCAGAAAATGCCTTACACAGGCAGTGAACAGAGAAATATAAAATCAAAGTGAAAAAGAATGAAGATGTATTACCAGGCTCTTCACCGAATCTCCATTGCTTTACTATTTACCAGTGCATGTGTATAATCTCAGAATTCCAGCTTTTTTTAAAATCCGTTTTCTTCACAGCTCATATGACTTAATAGAAATACTTTAAAATTTCTCTACCTTTAAATAAATGAGGAATTTTCTTAGGAACTCATCTCTCAGAATGAAGAAACAAGTTCAGCTAAAATTCAAGCTGATATAGATTCAAACTTTAGCATAAAATTTCAAACATTTGAGGTTGAAGATAAATTACAATGTTGTCATTTTGGTGTCACTTTGCAGTTCATACTTTCAGTCAAAGACAGTGCTCATGAGTGTCAGGGAGTCAGTTCAGAAGATATTTCTGGGAAGGCTGAAATTAGGGATTGAGTGGACTTTGCAGAGAAGAAGAGACATGAGTCTCTAGACCCAAAATAAAGTTTGAAGCCATTTACAGATCTTCTCCTTGAGTTTCCTTAGTACTTGCTCTGTGAGGAAGGTGACCTTTTTCAATATTGCAGATTCAGATGCACATTACACTTGAGAACCTGTTAGAGAATAAGACGAAAGTCATGCGCTGGGTGACCTTGGCAACCTGAGTTAATTCACAAAGTGTAAAATGAGCTCGATTGGTGCATTACACAGTTTTGAAAAATTTCATGTGAAAGACCTTTACCGTGAGGCCCCAAATCCTTGACTTAAATCCTTTGAGGAGTGTTCTCCTTAGATTCACAAGGAAGGGGCAGAAATTTCACTAATAGGTTTATTACATCCAGTTAGGACCCCTACGTCCTTTCAGATTCTGAAAGTATATTTATTCATTCAGCCTCTCCACAAACATTCATTAAGCCCAAATTTGTGCCAGTGTTAGAATTTAGCAGATCAAATTTCTTTAGTGCCTAACGTGAAAGGATAGAAATAGTTTGGCAAGTCAAACCGTGAGAAAAAGAAAATTGTGTGCTTTTATAGACAAAAGCTGCATTTAAGTCTTTATTTGCCTTTCAGGTAAACAACAGTTTTGTTATGTAATTCAAAACACAAGCCACTATCATTATTTTAGGATCAGGAGATGAAAACAATCTAACCACATTCTGCTTGGATCTTTTTAATGACTGGCAAATATCAAACCCTACTATCTGAACTTCTTTTTAAAAAAATTATAATTTATGATTTTTCAGTTAAAGAATGAATTTCTTAACAAGTAGATTCACCACAGTAGGCACCAGGGAAACTGCACTTGCCTGCCTCCCTCTCCCCAGTATGAGTGTGATTCACAGTGGGAGATGTAGCCACACGTATTATCCTAATGCAGTGAAGCCTTCAGGAAAACAAACAGGTGTGTCTTAAATCCTAACTGAGAAGTCTACCTAAAAGAAGCTGGGAAATGATACGCGGAAACAGTGTACATTATGTGAGGCATATTATTTTTTAAATTAGATAGTGAGGCAAAGGGGTGGTACATGTGGAAAATAGCTTATTTGAAAAGATCCCTTGCAGAATCTCCAAGTCACTGAGTTAATCCTGCAAGATTACACACCTGATCCATCCCTAACCAGGCCAATCTGCTTAACACCTGGAATGAGCATCATTCTTGAGACTCCTGTGAAATAAAGCCGTGAGCTGAATTAAGGTCCACCTTATAAACAACTTAATGGCTTTCAAACTTCAGAAGCTAAAAGAAAAATGAACTTAGAATTCTTTTTACTGCAGTCACTTGAAAGCTATTTTCTTTACATGATACAATTTATTAGCTTGTGGATTTTTGAAGATCGCCAGTTAACTTATGGACATCTCTTCAAGGGCAGGAGCCTTTCTCCTGCATTCATTCCCACAGATGCTAGGGTAGTGCCCAGGGACAAGGGAATATCAGAAGTGCTTTCAGCAAGCCACGGGGCACTAACCTCCTTCGGTTGTGATTAGCTGCCCAGCTGCCCCTCTGGAGCCAAGGCAAATGCATTTTTGCAAGTCTATTTAAAACAATACCTGGCCCCAAGCCACTGCTCAACATTTGCAAAATGGAGATAGAACATGACTATTTGTTTATGGGAGATAAACCCTACATGTCTCTTTATATCTTTATGTTGCTATGATTCAGCTTAAGTCATAGATTTAAAAACATCTAGGAAGGAAAGCCAGCACTGCCTGATCTGGCCTGTGGTCAGATGAAAGAGCAAAGCAGAATGATCATCTCACTCCCTTCTGTGTTTAGGCAGATGAGGAAAGTGAGTTCAGAGAGGCTATGAGACATTGGCGAGGACATCTAGATCAGCACTGGACCCTAAACCCTGTGCCTCACCTGCACAAACCTCTCCCCCGAGAGCTACCCTGGTCCACCCAGCAGCCAAGAGCTTCTCGTGGTCGAAAATGTGCTGTCAAAGCGCCTATGGCTCCCACCCCCACTCCCACCAATTTGCTTTCCTCTACCCTCCCCATCTCACTGGCTGTCACTCATTTCTCAGGCCAATGGTTTAGGAGTCTTCCTCGATTCCTCTCCCTCCACACCTTATATCCAGCAAAGTCCTCCTACTCTTCTTGCACAACTTGCCCTGAATGTGAACACTTCTCACCAAATTGGTCTTCACTTGATCTGCTGCGGTAGGCTTCTACCTTTAAATAAATGAGGAATTTTCTTAGGAACTCATCTCTCAGAATGAAGAGATGCTTTCACCCCAGCGCCCCAGGTTCTCAGCAGGCAGAGTGACCAGTTCAAAATCTGAGCAGATCATTTCCCCTATATAACCCACTTCTCTTTACCTCCCAACCCCTCACCAATGTTTTGTCATCTCATGTGGAGTAAAATCCAAAGTTTTTAATCACAGATCACAAGACTTATGTGGCTGCAATTTTCAAAGGCAGTGTATAGTGTCTCTTTGAGGCACAACCTCCCCTCAGAGTTGGAGTAGACACCAGGTGGATCACAGACATGATGCAATACATCATTTTGTATACTAATTATGAAGACAGAATGCCTCCCAGGAAAAGGAGTGAGAGGTGAGAAACGGTTGCATATGAGATGATCTGAATATGAAGACTACGTTATTATTTATAAGTACACATTGTTACCTTGAACAGCCAACAGATGCTGTTATTATGCACTGTTAGCTCCTTGGGGAGAAATATGTCCATGAATCTTTCTACAAGCAGAGTCCAACACAGGCTCAGGATGAAATGAGGACTCGGGACATAACTGGTGGTGTGGAAGAATAAGTGACATACCTTGTGTCTGATCACACAGGATTACAACAGGATCAAGTTGTAAAAGTGTCTCCTGGTTACTTACCATCAGCCCATACTAAGTTGCTTGGAAGAGACAGAGAGGGAGTGGCTACCATCATAAAGGACACTGTGTCCTATGCTATGCTAGACATGGCCAGAACAGGCATTAATTCCTCCCGTTAGGGGACTCTGAAAATTTTGGGCGTTAGTTTTTAACAAGGTTCATTTGGAACCTTTCCAGATGTGAACACCACTGTTACAATCACCACATTTCTTTAGACTTGCACTTACAAAGTGCTTGGCAATTGATTTACTTGCTCTCTGGAGCAGCAATTCCAAAGGTAGTAAATACTGTTATCTCCACTACAGATTACAGTCAAGTCACAAAAGAAGTCAAATTCACCAAGTAGGATCCCAAAAATGTCAAGCCAAGCAGGATCTCTCACAGCACTCCAGGATTTAAATTTCCAAACTTCCCAACCCACATTGCCCATTATTTGTTTGCTTGGTTCTCCTGGCCTCCCCAAGTTTCCTTCATACATAGAATTGCTTCCCCAAAGTGGCTCACATCACAGTGTTTTCTAAGGTAAATTTAATTTCCATCTGCCCCTTGAGATAGCTTGGTGATTCTCCAGGCCTGAAAGCCAACCCAGGTTTCTGAAGAGAAGGTATTAGTCCTTCTAACACCCATCTGTCCTGATCTTTTCAACAATATTTCTTTTAACAAGCTACCCCCACTAGACAGTCCTCTTTCAGTAAATGAAAAATATTTCCAAAACTATATTTAAGCACTCCATTTTCCTGTCAGAAAAGTAATTGTGGCTGGTCGATAAACTAGTTTGGAAATCAAATTTAGATGAGCCCAAATTTAAATTTATAAGAGCCTCATTTAACATGCAATTAATTTTATGCCTGTAATAAAAAGAGAAAAAAAACCTCCGGTCTTCCTGAAATTAAATAGGGTGATAAGGAAATGCTGAGAGCCTCATGGAGATGAGATAAAATGATTCTTGAACACTGTCAGCCTTTGGTTGCATAATATCATATATAATACAGTCTATTTCAGGGAAGTATTAATTTTACTGAAATTAAATAATCTTTTTCTGAGTACTCATAAGAATGTGACCAAATAGTCAGGGCTGAGACATAGATTATTGCTTCCAGAATTTTTTTTAAGCTCTAACCCTCTTCTTAAAATGTTACAGCTTCTAATGTTTTAGTTTCTTCCCCAAAGAATGGGAAGTAATGGAAATGGTAGAACTCAGCTATATTTAAGGTTCTTCAAACTTTGTTCCAATTAGTGAAATACTGAGCAAAGTCTTCATTTGCCAACCCCTAGGTTACTGTTTAAACCCATGTGTACCTTAAGATTGGATTGACATTTATTCTTATAATATTTTAATGTTTTTATGTGCAATCACAATCTCAAACCCACTGCGAGCCTATTAAGTAATTCAAAACATGACCTTAACTTGCAATTTTTTAAAAAGAAATAAGTTAAACTCCCAAGCTGCTTTTTAGTCTAAATATTGCATCTGGATACCGCCACACGTGTCACTACGTAAGTTCACTACTGAGAATGTATTTTCAGTTGGGTAGAAGTGCTAAAATCATTGAAAATTTTCTAAGAATTGGGTGGGGACAAAGTCAGCTTCTGATGTATTTTTTAAAGGTTCTGGAAGCCCATAAACACATCATTGTATTGAAGAACTTTTAAAAATTATCCAGTGCTTCCCCCCCCCCCAGTAAGTTCTTGAAGGAAATGAATCATCAACTCTTTCTTGTACCACTTATATTTGAACTTTGGGGTTTTTCCTGTCCCTGCCTGTCAGGATTGAAGGGCTCCCTCCAGAGGCTGCAGCTGGAGTACGTGGATGTGGTCTTCGCCAATCGACCGGACAGCAACACCCCCATGGAAGGTGAGTGAAGACACTTAAAAAGAGTTCTTGGTACTAGTTTCATGACTTATTCCACTCAGGGAAATGAAATATATTGACTGATATGATTGAATATGAAAAACAAATACCTTTCCGTTTCATGCCCTTCAACGCTTATCCTCAAGCCAGGGCTCCAGGTCCTGCTTCTTCCTGGTAGAACAAAGTGCTTCGTTGCTGCACTGGGGCTGTGGCATCAGTGGCTATTATGCTCACTTCTTCTAGGTTCACTTTTGTGATTTCATCAACTAAAACAATAGTGTTTACTGGAAGGGGAGTTTATAACACAGCCATCATTATTTTGGAGTCAGTTTTCTGAGGACCTTCTATTTTATAACTTGAAGTTTGATTAGTTTCCACACTGTGGTGACAAGTGCTCAGTGGGATGTTCCAGGGCTCACCACTTCAAAACAAGACTCTTTCTTGGAATTTGGTTGCTGATTCTGAAGGAGCCACATTTTATCCCCTTTCTCTTACAACTGTTTGAAGACAATACTTTACCCATCTCCTTGTGGAAGATTTCAGAATGTTCCTAAAACCAGATTCTCTTCAATTTTCATTTATGGAAACTACCTAGAGTGCTTAAGAAAGAAAAGATAGTTTGGGAGGAAAAATTAAAAAGAATGTTTTAGTTAATTGGAGTTTGCAGTCATGTGGATTATCACTTGATTGAGTTGAGTAAGAATGAAGATATTTGGGGGAAAGGAAAAAAGGAATGTTCTGGCTATTTGAGATGTATGAAGTGGATTTACAAGTTTTCAAAGAATTAGACTAGAGTAACAGGCATACAATTACTCTAAAGGTAAATTTGTCCATGATGATTCAAAAGGTAGTTCAGTGTCTTATAATAAATCAGGTTCTTGTGATAGAGTTATAGAAATTTTAGAAGTGATAGTGGTATAGAAGTTATAATTAAAGTACATATGAATTAAAAGCCTGGTGACCATCTTCTTTGGAAACATGTCTTTGAATTATACCATGTACAAGATAGAAGAACATCTGGGATATTTCTGAGTCTCTTCTTTTTTTTTCCCATCCTACCTCTGTTTTTAATTTTAGGGATATAATGTAGGAGTATCTCAAAAAGAAAACTTACATTATACAAGGCAGAAGTTCTTAATTAGGAACCAAATGATGTGATACTGCTATGATAATGGGTCTGTTCTATGAACACTGATTGTGTGTTGAAATTTATTAGAAGGGAGCTTATAAGCTTATAAGGGAGCTTATAAAAAAAATGCCACCTGGTGGATTTGTAAATGTACCGTTGTCCAGCCTCTGCTGGAATCATAGAAAATTCACATTCCCTTTCATTTCTGACAGAAAATTCCACCAAGACAAACAGGAAGCTATTTTATCATTAGTCACTGTCCAAATTCAGAAGCTCAGTGAAGGCTATCAGCAATGCAGATTTGCCATTTCTTAATAAAGTCAAGAAACAATGCATTTTGTAACTTGATGACAATCAACCTCTCTTCATGGGAAGAGGTCTGTCTCCCCACCCCACCAAGTGCCCTTTCGCCAGGCACTCCAGCTCCAAGCTTAGTCTTCCAGATGTACTTAGCAGGGACATACTACAGGCAGTTTGTCACTAGGACTTATTCCAGATTGAAATAGCTCCCCTGTGAATTCACTCTCACTTTCAGAAAATGTATATGATCAAACTTAGTAGAATCATTTGTTCCAAGGTGAGCCAGATGGAAATGCCATTTTGATACTAGTTTCTGGAAACCCAGTTTCTACATTTGGTCTCTTCTACTTTAACAGAGGAAAATGCTGATCTGGGCAATAAAGAAGAAGAAATAAGGAGACAGGGATTGCCAGATGGTCTTGGGTGCACTTGTGTATGAGTGAAACTTGTACATATACAATGGAATCTACATTTAGAGAGTTATGTTTCTAAAAATAATACACAAAGGAAATGTTGGGCACTATCAAAATTACCCTGAAATCCTGACAGTAATTTTCATCAGTGAGTGTTACTCCATAACCTCTACTTAGTTGTTTTATTTCTTCTCCAAATATAGTGGCAAACCCATCACTTGCCCAATCACTTTTTTTGGTTTGTTTGTTGGTAATCATTGGAAAATCCTCGATATTATTCTCATCCTACCCCCACCTCCCCCAGCAACTCACATTAGTAATTTTAGGCTGTCACTTGCATCCAATTCTATCTGATATAAACAATACAAGTTCCTGAGTATATATTGCTGAATTTCAATACATTAAACCTACAGATGTCAGCACTGTTTAGTATGTGTGTGCCTGGGTGCATATCTTTAGTATACATCATTTTTATTGGCTTCAACCATTCCCTATCAATTCCATGGAGCCACAACAGACACTAATTTATAATTTTTCCGAGGCACCTATTTTAAACCCAAGGGACCTAGTGAGAGCACCCAGCCCAGCTTTGGAATACACATTTTAAACAACTTTGATTTAATTTTTTTTAAATGCCAACCCCATTCATTTGATTCTTACTATAAAGCAATGTTAATTGGGAACATTTCTAAAATAAACCAAGATGAGTTTTATCCAGTTTCTATTTATCATATAACAACTATTGAGCCAGAAAAGATTAGCTGTAACATCCTCTTTATAATTTATTGGCATGATATAGTTAATTAGTTGTTGCAGTCCCTTCTTCCTTAGAAAATTAGTAGACAAAAAATGAACTCTCCAAAAGAATGGCTAAATTATAAACGTTCAGTCACTGGAGAAAGGGATGAAACTTGTCATTTGCTATCTGCAACCTATGGAATACAAGGCTATGGGAAGATGTTCCTGACAACAGAGGGGGATTTGTGTGCTTTCCCCCCTGTCCTTCTTGTTTATTTTTTCTGGTTCACCTAGTAGTAAGTCATTTTTCTTTCACAGCATCTGTCATGCCATCTGTTTCTGCTATAATATCTGGCATCAATGGCATGTTATCCAAATCCAAAAAAAATCAGCCCATACCCCATCTCTTCTTTCTTAGGAGGCTGTGCTCTTCCCAGTTGAGTCACTGACAGTTCCTTGTGCTCTGCGATACTTACATTCTTAAGTCTCTCATTTACTTAAATCCCAAGGTGTGTTTCAAAATCTTCTCTTGAACTCGTTAGACCATAGAAAGTTCATTCCACCTGAGTCGTGCAGAGCAAGTTGACGTGGAGTGCTAGTGTGTCTGAAGTCCTGCAACTAGGAGGTTTTTTGGTGGTGTTTGCTGTTATTCCCAAATGCCAGGATAGTTTCTCCATCTATGCTCTTCTCACTCTGGGGAGGAAGTGATCAGGCATGACTGTGGCCATGAAAGAAGGTGGTGAATCACATACTGCTTCTGAAAAAAAAGTGATAAGCCATTCTACTTTATATAGATTTTTTTCTGAAAGGAAAGAAGCCCACTAATTTGTTGATCTGAAGAATGTGATGAATTTTAATTAGATTAAATCTTAATTTAAAAGTCACTTCAAATTTGAGTTTTTGTATTTTTCATGCAGAGCTTTTTGCCAAAACTAATCTCACAGAATCCCTGAGTCATTAAATATTATGCCCAACATAACTGGAGTTCAAATTATTTATCTTCCCCTGCCAGCAGGTCAATACAGACATAAAGCAATCCAGATGTTTTCATTTCAAGTAAGAGAGACAAGATCAAATTTAGTTTTACTTAATTCCCATCATATCATCACATCAAACAGTCCATCCCATAATTATACTTCTTTCTAAGCCATCTTTATTAGTGTCTTACTATGCAAGTAGAAACATATTCAAGAATCAAGACATCCCATGGCAACTGAGGAACTATGACAAAGCAGCAAACATTACAGCATCACAAATTGTGTACATTTTCCCAATTCAAAACATTGGACCTGGATAGTCAGACTCCAAGGTTAAGTTTTCAGAACCAAAAATGTAATGGCCTAAAACTGGAAAGACCATTGAACCATGATGAATCATCCCTTCTGCCCAATTTTTTATTATCTGCCCTGAAAGACACCTTCACCCATTCCAAAAAATGTAGTAATCACTAGGAAGAAATTTTCTGCAAGTAGTCTTATAACAGTGCTGTCCGCTGGAAATATAATCCACATATATATTTTAAATTTTCTATTAATTATATTAAAAAGTAAATAGAGGGCCTCCCTGGTGGTGCAAAGGGCTAAGCACAGCACAGTGACGCTATCCACAGCCACTGCAGCAAGAATTCAATCCCAGGTCAGGGAGGAACACACATGGCACAGCAGACCTCTCCTGTCTCCCCCTCTGCTCCCCTCAGCAGTGTATTTCAGTCAGTCTGCCTGTTCTGTTCCCTACTCTGTCTCTGGTGAATCCTCTAAGGCCCTGCACCTCTGACCTGTACCCCAGTTCTTTGTATGCGTAAATAAATAAATCTTTAAAAATTTTTTAAAAAATAAAAAGTAAAAAGAAGTAGGTGAGATAGTTTTATCTGTCTCCCCAATTTCATTTACCTTCATTATTTGTTTGACTTTCTGGCTTTCTGAGCAGATCTGAACAATCATAATTAACAATAGAAACACACTGCAGAGTGCACTATTCCTTGTGCACATGGTACCTCAGATTTGCAGTCTTCTAGGGCTGTTGAAAAACTCCCTACAGTTAACTCCCCTCTCCCCACCCCCTCACCCCACCCCACCACCAAAGCTCTGAGTGTGGATCATGGTGATGTGCAACTATAAGGAACAGAGCCCCAGTTAACAATTTGTCCACTTGGGTTCCATAGATTGAATAGGAGCATTGGAAAAATGACCTCTGCTGGAGCATACGGAGAAGCTGAGATTGCCAAGGCTGCAGCAAACATGTAATGTGACAAACCATACTCCGAGTGACAATGTGCAAACATCTGCTGCAGTATTCTATGCTTTTCTTGTAAATCAAAGATTCCCAACCTCATTGCATAAAGTCCAGGTTGGAAGGGAACATCCCAGAGAAGAATGCAGCTTCTATGCAATTTAGCCACTTCCTCTATTCTCTTTCCCCTTTTA